TGGGGGGGGGTGGGGGCGGTTTTTCCACCATATCGGTGACATTTTTTGTACTGATGTTGCGAAGGCCGCCATTTTGCTTTAAGAACCTTGTATACCCAAGCTCACGCGCTCTTATCGATCAGTATATAGCGCGAAGGTCTGAGCATGAGAAAAATTTCAAATATTAAACTGTTTTAAGCTGTAAAACGAAGAGATTTACATAAATTTTTTTTTAAAAATTCAGAGGCGGCAGAAATCAAGAGGCGGGCGGTGACACTAACCAAGTTTGTTTGTTTTTATTTGGCCTTATTTCAAGAAGCCACTACCCTACAAATTTTGATTTGCTTGCTTCTGAATTGTAAAAATACAATAAAGTTTTGTCTTGTGTTTTCTTGTATTGACTGCATTAGAGGTCTTAGAGATGTGTGTGCACCAAGCACATACTTACTTTTCAAGGCCCTCGTTCAGTTCAGGAACAGTACACAAACATTGTACTGTGGCATTCATATAACATGTATTTCCAAGATTTGCAAGCCCTGTTGGCAGTTTTAACTAAAGAAATTAAATAAGTACAGTAACTTAGTCTAAACGCCAGTTTGGTACACGGCTAAAAGAACATCAAAAGGATGTTTCAACTTTAGACAAGGGAAAATCAGCTTTAGCAGAACATGTGTCCGTGTTACACCAAACATGGGATTGCGTGGGAAAACTCTAAAGTAATTACCACAAACAATCGCTATGGTTAAAGACTTTGCCTAGAAGCGTGACATATAAATATGAGTACAGTAATCATGCTTTGAATAGGGATGACGGCGCCTATTTGCCAGAGGAATACGTGCATCTCATTGGCAGGTGACATCATCCCTTGGGTATATAAGAAGCCACAATTGCATCTTTAGATCAACCCTGATGAAGACACTAGACTGGAGTGTCGAAACGTTGGGTCTTGATTACAATTCGACTTGGCTTTGTAATCATTTATTTAAACCAGAGTAGCGAGCGAAACATGATTAGTCAGATGTGTTTGTCTTTTTCAGGTAAAGCACTAACATGTATTTCAGACACAAACAACAACAGTGTCATAGGCAATGAAAGATTGGTTTTGTTGGGGGGGGCAAACAAACTCTAAGGGGATCAGCAGGCTTGCTCTCCTTAAGTTTTGAAAAACAGTAAACTCTCTGAAATGGCATTTCCTGCGTTCTGACACACAGAAGCATTGATTTGTAACGTCTCCTACAACAACTGTTTCAAGCCACCAACTGTATACTGTAATGGAAAATTAGGAATATTTGATATATAATAAACCTTTCTTTTGGAGAGGCTTAGCCCTCTCTTTTTCCTACTTTTTCAAAGTTGGGGGGGTCCCAGTTCCACCGCCTATGTTGAGCATTCTTCGGCACTTAAGGAGAAGATTTTGAAGGTTTTTCCCGACCTAAATCGTTAATATCCCTGTGTTAAGTAATTTCAATATGTAGCATAAACAATATACTCAAACATAACAAAGAGGCCTAAATCAAGAGCATGTTAAAGTTTCTAGTAGGTCTGTAGCCCTATCACTTTCAAAATATTATATGCTCTGATTGTTTGGTTATGTAATCTTGTTCATAGGGGAAAAAATTTTAAAAGGGCTGCAATATCAACTAAATTTACATTTAACACACTGCACACTGATGCACCACATATACTTTGGGGTTTTTTTACTCCGTCTAATGCCAGACTATTTTACTGATCAAGAGGAAAGTGCGGGCACTTGAATGGGTTACGCAAAACTTCATTTCTTACAGTTGCAGCAAGCTGTGAGTCTGACATGTCTTCCATGAAGACAACTTTTTCTTTCGGAGCCTGAGGTAGTTCACCAACTGTACCCATCATCATCAACATACATCCCTAAAGAAATAAATTTATTCTCAACCTACTGTTATTGCATGAACCATTGAGGTGAAACAATGATAACATCTGAATGCTTTAAGAACTTATTGAGATTTTTTAATAATTTAACATAACATTAAAACAAAATGGCATCAAAAATAGCGCTAAAACCATTCCATGTATAAACATTGTAGTGGAGGACTTGATATGCTTTTAATCTTCAGCAAACACTATCAATGTTATCGATGTGCAAATTGTACTATCTAATTGTTAAAGTTCTTGTTTTCTCAACAATCGGTTTAATATATAATTGGAAATACAAATAAGTCTACAATTCCGATCGTCTATCAATAAGGCAAAAAGCGGCCTGATAGTCAATAACTATTAAAACCTGCATACTCGCTACTCACATTTTTGAGTTTCATATTACTCCAACCATCATCCTACAGCATAACACAGAAATTTAAGTTTATATTAGGGATGAGCCGATTAATCGGTAAATAATCGGCAAAGCCGATTAATCGTCCGTTTTTTAAATAATTGGTAATCGGCAAACATATTATTCACCTGAGTACACAACACCAACACAGAAAAATTCATATTACTAGAACACATTGGTATTGAAGGAACTAGATACTGTTCCGAAATATCACTTACTCGAACCGTCCTGACCGCGTAGCTCAGTTGGAAGAGCATTGGGCCAGTATTCCAAAGGTCGTAGGTTCGAATCCCACCGTGGCCGGGCATATTTTTCAAGCTCGCCCGGTGTGGATATGCACTCAGAGTAACATCGCAAACATATTGCTTGATAATCGGCAAATAATCGGCTGCCAAGCACATGCTAAAATACTGAATACAAGCGAATAGATTTTCACATTTTGTTGCAAAACCTGTGTCTTTTGTCTTGAGCGAAGTGAAGCTGGGAACATTTCCACTGAAAAACACAGCAGACTAGCTCCGCATAGCTGACAATGTCCTGTTTTTACACCATAATCTGCCAAAACTAAACTTTGACTATTGACATGCAAGATTGAAGCTGTTTTCAATTGTACATAATGTGTATTGTAAACAATAAAACCGCATCTACAACTTCATTGTTGGTCATCTTGTGATTTTTCGCTTGCTTTTTAATATAATCGGCGGGTACCGATTAATCGGCCGATTAGTTACGATAATCGGCTCATAAATAATCGGCCTCAGTAATCAGCAATTTTCCTTATCGGCTCATCCCTAGTTTATATGTATGTCAAATACAAGTAAATAACCAACTGGCTGGTCATGGGTGGATGGACTTAACCAGTTGAATGTTCTACAAAAAACAAGTTTAGAGTACCATGCCCTGTTACCAAAGGAATCCTACTGTACCTTCAATACACTTCCTTTGAGCATGATCTTTTGCCTTTCAGGAGCAACATTTGTCAAAGCGAATAACTGAGCTTTAAATAATTCTGGCAACTCATCTGTGTCCACTTCAAGATTTTCAAACTTTTCTTTGCCCCACTTGACTGAAACTGTAGGTTCAAAATTGTTACATTAAACCTTTGCAACCCTCGTAATTGGCCTATTTTTGCCTTGGCAAAATTGGGGATCTCTTGGCTGAGGTAGGTAAAAACATCCTCAATATCAGACATTCCAACTCTCCCGATTTTACCGGGAGTCTCCCGAAAATTTGAAGTTGCTTTATGGCAATTTATAGGATCACTTATAACAACATAGTCCCAAAATGCTGGAAACGCCAGTTTCAGAAGACTTTTTCCCAGAAGAACTAGATTTCAATTCACTGAACAGTCTCCCTAAATTTTACCTCCAGTGGTTGGAATGTCTGCATTATGCCTCGGCATTTGATAATCAAAATTCATGTTCAGTCCTCACAATTTAAAAAATCACAGCCATTCATAAAAATGTTCTGTTGACAGGATTTGTAGATGGAATTCTGAGTGGAATTTTTATACATTTACAGTATTAGACTTAATTTAACCAGGAGCAGTTGCAAAACATGCAACTATATGAACTTGTGGTTAGAGCTCGACAACTCTCTCTCGGTTGGTATCAGGGTACAGGGCTGCAGGTTCGATTCCTGCCAGGGGGTCAACAGTTGCAAGAACTAAGCAGATTTCTGATCTTCCTACTGTATTTGACAAAAATACTTTCCGACTGCAGAATCCCTTGGTCTGCCATATATTTTCTGAGAAAATATCTAACATTTGAGTTAAAAGTGATCAACTGATCATTGTTTATCATTCGTTCTTATTAAATTATCAACCAATCACAAAGCATGTTCATATAAGAATGGGGTGACCTTAGGCATAAAAAAAATAACTGTGGTTCCAGTTCCCGACCGACCTGATTTTTTTCTGCCGACCCTATTAATTTTTCAACACGATTGATCGTGCGACCCTATTTTCTCCAGGTGGTTGTGGGCTGCTCATACAGCGTGCCAAAATGGCGTCTGTTGTCACAATAATTATTGAACCAAATTGCCTCAATTCGTCCATAGGAAATACGCACCTCTAGTTAATATTGATGTCGGGACTCTACTGCAAATCGTCCAGCAAAAAACAGGCAAAACCATGAAAAAAAATTCAAAAAAAAATTTATTTCCAACCTACAGACCCTAATTTTTTCACGATATGAAACCAGAACCACAGGTATTTTTTTACGGCTTACCGCCAGCCATTCAAGCCTGCAATCCTCAGGAAGGAATGTGAGGCTCTGGGATAATCCGTTTCAGGGAGGAATCTGATTGGCCATTGAAATGAAATGCGCAGTTCAGTCTTAGCCAGGATTCCTGGCTTCCGGCAACAGATTATCCCAGAGCCACATGCTCCGTCCCGAGGATCGCAGGCTCGGGGAATGAGATTGTCAGCCATTCAATTTTACATGGGGGGGTGAATAGGTTTTCGGATCGTCGGATTCCGCCGAAAAAATTGTTCAGATTTTGGATTTGGCGAATATTTTACACAGATTTGCAGAATTTATTAATGCAGCGGATTGCAAATTTATCTAATATTTTGGCTCGGATCGGTAGATTTTGCTTGCAATTTAGTTCGGATCCTGGATTGTGACTGCATAGTAGAGCTTTTAGAGGATCCAAATTTAGACAAGACCATTGTCGGACGGCGGATTTTGCTTCAAATTTGGGCGGATCTGCGGATTTGTATACCCCTATTCACCCCCCCCCCACATGGAACAGCTGGCTTTTATTCTTTATAGCAACCGGCCCAAAGTCTGAAAGTCGTGGCAAGTGAACTTGACACACTTGACTTGTTGAGCAAATGATGTTTAAATAATTATATTTATCATTGATTTTATTGCAAACATAAAAACCCTTTAATAGTCACTCTCAGAATACCCTATTAACATTATTAGCTATTATACTGATAGTTTATGCAAATAAATATTTACCACGTGGAAACATGTTATTAAAAACAGCAAAACCAAAAACGACCATTTTAATGGAATACAATTCATAACAACTTTTATATACATATACCAAGCACTGACCTTGATAAGTGGGCATTATTCCACAAAAATAAACCTTTTCAAAAGCAAAATTCTAGTCCAAAAAACACTTTATACTCTGTATCTTGAAAGTTGATATTTCAATATGGCCGCCGCTTAAAAAATACTTCATGTAATCGAGATTCAAGTGTCAATTTGACGACAGTGAACTGTATATGCACACTGGAACGCTAAGTCAGATGATAATTAAGCCCTATGATTGGTCAAAAAGCTGTAATATGATTGGCTAGATCGATGATTGGTTAATTAAATCGAAACCAAATATACACAAAAAGCGCCACGGCTAAAATTCAAATTAGTTCATGTGGGAAATGGCGAAAAAATTCATTTCAAAGGACAAATGAGACGGTTCGAGATGCAAAAATTTCTTTAAATTTTTTCCGTAGTTTTTCAGGTCTCTCCAGATATAACTCATAACCGAGATGTCACTGATGAAACTACAGCACCATTACAAGCCTTATTATATTCGTTTTGAAATCAATGGTGTTTCCTGCAATCTGATTGGTTCACAGGAGTGCGAATTAAGAATCGCACTGCGATTCGTGCTGAAATCCCACCTTCCTTCAACCAATCACATTAGAGCGTTGACTTCAGCCAACCAATCATATTTAATCATAGGATTCAAACAGCCAATCAATTTTAAGAAAAATGTGATATGGCAAATGAGCAAAATCAAAAAATTTACAGATGTCATAAATGATTTAAAATTAAGCAATTTTTGCACATAAAAACAAACTTACTTGTAAGTTTTTTGTATGTTTGCATTGCGATACAATATAATAGTTTTGTTTGTGGAAACACCACGTAAATGTATTACTGCAAAGCTTTCGATCCGTAAGCCCGGATCTTCATCAGTGCTAATAATATGTGTAATAATATGCTAATAATAGTAATATGCTAATAATAATTATTAATAATAATCATAATAATAATAATATGTAATAATAATAATAATATATTATATATAATAATAATAATAATAATATACTAATAATAATTATTTATTTTATTATTAAACTTACTTGGGATTACAAATCGATTTTGTAATCACGCGTTTGATTTCACTATTTCAGTCCAAATTGCACTCCATTCAGTTCAATTACCACAAAAATCAGTGTATGAATGTGACTGTCCAATATATGGTTGAATAGAAATTGTGTGAGATATAAATATATATATATATATATATATATATATATATATATATATATATATATATATATATATATATATATATATATATATATATATATATACATATATATATATATACATTGTGCGCATGCTCACTGCTTGCAGTTTGAGCACTCTGGCAATGGTTTGATGTATATATATAAAAATAAATAAATATTGGGTGTTGGCCATAGGAATATAAATATGCCCCCTATATACAACTGTCAAGGGTGGGTTGACTACAAATTTTTTGTAGTTCGCTATAACTACAGCTACTTCAAGAATATGTAGTCAGCTACAACTACTGCTACATTTGAACAAAAGTAGTTCGCTACTGACTACAGCTACTGCTTAAAAAATGTAGCGAACTATTTCGCTATTTCGCTACTCAATATTTTTTAATTTTACTGTATATGGAACATCTACTATAGCTCTGGCTGTAATGTAACCTATAACAAATCGACTTACGCGAGTAAATAAGACGGCATGCACTTGCACAGTTTGAACAGTTGCACGGCATACTTTATTCATGCAAATTGAGCATTGATTTTAAGCAAACTGTGTCCTAATAACATTCTATTCTATCAAGTTGCTAACAATTTTAAAAAGTAGCGAATAGCGATTTGCTGTTTGAAAAGTAGTCAACTACTTGGCTATACTTTTAGGCAAAATGTAGTTCGCTATAACTACAGCTACTGTTTTGAAAAAGTAGTCAAAAACTACTGGCTACTTGAAAATTGTAGTTCGCTACAGTAGCGAACTACAACTACTTCGCTACTACCCACCCTTGACAACTGTGACTTTAACGTATGCGGAAAACAGGTAATTACTGTATATTCCATAAAGGCGGTATATTTTCCGCCGCGGAAAAAATACATTCCATGAAGGCGGTATATATTCCATGAAGGCGGTATATATTCCATGAAGGCGGTATATATTCCATGAACGCGGTATATATTCCATGAAGGCGGTATATTTCACTGAAAACTTCCTTATTCCGGAAATAGCATGGAGCTTTGTTGGATATAGTATGGAAATCCAATTTTCATTACTATGGATATAGTATGAAAATAGTATGGATATACTATGGATTTAGTGATTCAATCGCAAAATTCATAATAAGAATTTCACTATTTTTCGGGTATTTTACCCTTTCAAATACCGAAGGCCGAAGGGGTACCGCTATTAATGAAACTACTGCTCGCTTTCCTTATCAAATTTTGATTAAAGATGTGAAACTCGTGTTTCAAACCTAAAATTGACGGTTCCGGAATTCAGATAGCCGGGTGTAATACTAATAATGTTGGCTATTATCAATCTTAGGGGTTCAAGTCTGTTCGACGGATGTGCGGTTTGTTTACATTTGACTATATTCACAAAATATGATGTACTTAGTTAATATCTATGAATATACATTATTACTTACATTAATATAAATTAGAGTTTCAAAAGTCGAAATAACAATTTGGGTATTGTCTACAGCAGAGGTTCTTCACATAGCACATGCGCAGAACCTAGCGCAGAACAGACTTGACCCCGTCTTTAAATCAGATCGCGGAATACATTCCTCAGTATAACTGGTATCAACAATTTAAACAACATTGTACCGTGTGAATAGTATATTATAAAGCCTCACAGTTTACAATAAAGTTAAGCATACTCAAGTTCATGCTAATATATATAGGCACATTGAAAATACTACAAAAACATCTTTGAATATGTCGTGCCAAATGGCGGTTTGTTTTGCGAAAAACACTTCATCTCAATAGCAACAAAGTTACCGTCAAGGACAAATATCGATTCGCAGAATGCGGAGCTAGTCATTAGACATTGCTGGTGGCAATTACAATTGGTCTGAGAGTTAATGATTTTCCAGTGTATCAAATTGTTATACTCAATCGATATAACCAAACAAATATGTTTTTGACATGTATGACGATTTTCACCGTTCATCGGTTTCTTAGGCCTATTTCAAACGTCGCTCTTCCCATTAAAAACAAACGCATAAAAAAAAATATATAATCAGCTGAAATGCCTCATTATATCTATTGTTTCAAATGCGTTTGGTACATGAGAAGCGAGACGTTTGAAACAGGCCTTAATTAGCTTGTTTGCATATATATTGTCAGTGTTGAAAACACCACATTGAATCGAAGATTGCATGTAGCTATGTGAATAGACTATTAAATTTGCCAAACGCCCAAAGGCAGGTTGTTCGAAAATCGATTAGTTTAACCCTGGGTTAACCTAAAATTCAAAGCAAACTTCCTGACAGGCTTGTTTATATTCAGTATAAATTTGGAAATATTTCTTCAGATATATTGTCTGGGTCAGTGGGAGTTTCTTCACTGAAGTTTTGAAGTAAACAGTGCCAATTGGCCATTTCCCAAAGTCCTGAGTCTAGTCGCGTGAATCCCATATTTGAGGGACAAGAAAAATGGGAGCACACATTTAAATTAAATGTTTAATGCAAAAAGGAGATATTTCATTTTTGGTCGTGTAAAAAGTTGATATTTGATGGTAGATACTTTCTGCTCTTTCACATATTTGACGCCTGTCTCCATATATTTTGTAGTCCTCCAGACGATCCCAGAGTGCATTGTGATCTCTTATGGAAAAAGGCTAATTAAAACAGCAGGTTAAATTTAACCGAGGGTTAGTGCTAATCCAGCTTTGAACAACCGCGGTCCCAAGGAAATAATTGAAATAACTCAAGGATTCTTTAAAAAACAAAGAAATTTTATAGTGTTAATTGCCAAAAAAAATCTTTGGTTTCACCTTGGGATTAAGTTAAAAATATGCAGTGGGTATGACTAACAGGACGTCGGCTAGCAATTAATCTAGTCATTTATGAAACTATTCGGAAACCTGACGTGCTCGTGTTGGAATGCCGCTTATCCTATTTTATTCGATAGAAAACTTTCAAAATAACTAATATAACTTTTTTCTATTTCCTGACTTTTCGGACTTTGGTTTTGTACATATTTTTGGCATTTACAAGTTAGCAGATGCATAATATGGCACTAGTAAAAGATTCAAAGAATAGTTTGTGTATCTTTTCATTCTCGAGTGAAATACTTAATATCAAATACTTAGAATCGAGGGGTTGGCCTTTGAAGTTGCCCGAGAATGACGCACCTATGTTATGCACACAATCCCAGCGGGCAAAATGACGTTTATTCAACGTTGGAAATGACGTTCCAGACGTTGGATAGACGTTGAAAAAGGGTTGACTATAATGCAAATTGGATCGACGTTACTGTTTCGACGTTGAAACAACGTTGAACTTAGGTTGCCAATCTCGTCAACCTTAATTCAACGTTGAATCCACGTTAAAACAACGTTGAGATTGGTTCACAAATCGACGTCGTACATTTAACCATGGATGAACGTTAATTCAATGTCTGTTGGCTGCTGTTGAACCAATGTTTGTAAAACAACGTCAGAGCAACGTAGATATTAGGTTGTCGACGTCGCAATCTTTTTTCTACCAAATTTCAACGTTGAAACAACGTCGTGTGCCCGGTGTGATGTAGCCTTTCTATTTTCGTGGACGTAAATATATGATTATGCATGGCACATGGTATAAATTCTGGACATGCGCTCTTCATACAAACTGATAAAAGAACTAAAGAAACGAAAAGTTTCACTTTCTAGTTTGGAAAAATTTTTAAACCATTAAGTTGCATTGTGGTACCCAAAGTGCCTCACTTAATTATTTTGCGCTGTCTAATGCCAGACGATTTCAAGGGAAGAGAGCTGGCGCCTCAATGGCCGGTTAAAAAAGATAAATTTTTACGTCAAGTGCTGGAAATGTGACGATCCTTTACTAGGTCATTTCCTGTAAAAAAAAATATTCTCTTTGTCTGCTTAGGATAAGAAAGAATAGCCTGTGGAAGAGGTATTGTAGACATTTTTAAAACCAACTGATATATCTATAATTATATTAAAAAACAAGAAAATCCATACAGTAAAACTGTTACATTCAAAGCATTGCTATATAGAGGCTCTTCACCACGTTCGCATTTCTCACTACTCGTTATATAAGCATGCAGTCAATTGCTCTATACCGCGGCCTCAAATATATTCTCTTTCCTCAAACAACAATTGCCGACAGCAATCACGGCTCACGATTAGGGCATATAAATCACGTTTCAAGGCACAAAAATCGATCATTTCACATTTCACGAGAACACTGAATACTGCGGGAACACTGCATGTAAGCGGAACACTGAATTCGCAACTCCTTTACATGATGATCCACCCTCACTTTAAGACAATAAAGAAGAGCCTGTAGAAGAGGAATTATAAGCATTAAGCATACTTAACATTGGTCAGTTACGCCCATACAATTCTGTTGAATTCGAAACCAAAGGCAAAGTGCTGAAACCGTAAATTGAAGATGATAAAAAGGTTGTTTTATTTGGGCTATCCGGGGAGCGAACCTTGCCGACAATGATATTTATAGATACACGAATCTTCAAACCGTTCTATTTTCAAAACAAGAGAGATACTCCTTTGACAGTAAGCTCCGTTTGAATGGCTAACTTTTTCTGTATTATTTTATTACAATAGTGTTAGCTCATGTACCGAACACATGCACAATTTAAGCATCAATTTATGTTTGTTGTCCGTTTCCCTAGAATTGCTTCTTTCTCGTTAAAAATCTCCTTGTTTTTGTATTTTCAGTCTCGTTGAATATACTTTGACAAGAACTAAGTGTTATGATAAATAGATACAGATATTTAATTAAAAAAAATGAAAGCCAGACAATCGATCAGTTATATAATTATGTAGTGATAAATTACGTATCCTGAAAATGATTTGGACTCCATTTTATGCAATAGTTTGAAAATTAATTGGGTTTTTTCCCTTTCTTTTTTCTATCTTGAAAGACTTCCAGCCTAAAGACAACCAGGATGATAGCCCGATTGGCTTGTTTTGAAGACGGTTTTTTTTATTTTTCGTCAAACGTCAGATATTTGGCCAGCCATGCACACATCGGAAGACGGTAAAACTGACAAGTGGCGCAATACGTGTTGTCATGACAGCGAACAAAGACTGGGGTTAAAGCACGTTCAAGTGATTCCCTGACAGTTTTAAGCATTAGTAAGCATAAGGAAATCTTTGTTTTGCATGCAATCGAGTGGCTTTCCTATAGGAATTTGTCTCGTAGTCAGAGCTGTATAAATTGACTTCCATTGACGTATGGTTTTGTCATTGCCGAAATATTCAAATGAGAGTTAAAGACTTCAAATTTTCATTCCTTCTATTTTAAGCACTTGGACATTTTGGTTTAAAATTTAGAAGATCCGGCTACTACCCACTGATAACGAGTCACACGACAAGTCTTGGTGAACTTTCAATTTCTTCAGAAGTTGAATTATAGCTGAAGGTTATTATATCATAAACTAATTGGTGATTCGTGTATAGCACCGCTCGCGGAAAACACGGAACGATGTCAATATTAATCAAGTAAACTCCTGGTGGTTGAAGAGGCATCTACTTTTCGAAGCATAGAAAGTTTGTTCTTCTGCATCAGTGTTAGTGGTTAAAATATCAGAATAAGGTTTAACCAAATTGGAATGTGGTGAAAAGTCCTAACCAATAATAGATCAAAGGTACGATAATTGGCTTCGCTAATACATTACAATCATATTAATTTAAGGTATTTGAAAGAAACTTGTGATATCATAGCCTATATTCTCTGGCTATAAGCCTTACTGCACAAGAAGAGTGCAAAGTATTTATTTCAATTGGCTTAAGTAGCTACCAGAATTGGCGAATTGTGCGTTATTTGGTAGTTGATTGAAAAAGAGTCTATACATCACATTTATTTAAATTTTGGTCAGATTGTGGTTAGATAACATTGTTCTCACGGAACCACGGACGACTGAGAGTCGTACTACGCCTATAGTATTGTGAAAGTAGCAATATAGCAAGTACTCGAAATCATTGAAATAAATACTCGATTGTTAAGTGATTATACAGTAAACAGTATTGGGTAGAACTACTGAACGTCTGAAATTTCGTTTCTCTCAATAGGCATACTAGAGAGGTACACTGGTATTTGACACTGAAACGGTTTTTATTCATTGCTCAATTGGCTCTTTCATTGGGAATAACGTCTAGATTGGTAAGAAACGTACTAGAAGGTCTAGAAGACAAGGATCCATAATCATATTCTGTTTATTGAAACTGTGGCAACATTCGGCATTACAGTCTGTATTAATCGGTGTTTAATCGATCCATACAATATCTATGTGTTAAAGTTGAACAAGATCACGGTGAAGAAAATCATTTACTGTAAATTGCTGTTATTTAAATACGTAAAATACCTTGACCAAAATTGGATATCAAATTTTCAAAAAATCCTTCAGAAATTTGAAGTTAGACAGCAAAGACTTCAACTTCAGGAAGAGTAATAAGTTCCTAATAATCGGCGAGGAGAACAAAGGAAATATAGTCAAAACAGAGAGCCGCGAATAATGGTGAAGTATATTGTTGTCTTCATCACAGCGGTAGTTCAACTGTTGTCGATAAGAGAAGGCTGGGCAAGGCCGGATGGAGCGCCTAGAAGAGCATGTCCTGACCTTACTCCAGGGCACGGAGTTGCGTTGACTGGAGTTAATCCGTTCAGCATCGATACACAAACTCAGTCTGGTAGAATTAACATCACAATATCATCGACTGATGATAGGCCGTTTGAAGGTTTTATACTGCAGGCAAGAGAGATTGGAAGTACCATACCGGTGGGAGAATTTGTCGACGAGCCACTTCACACGAAAGTTATAAATTGCACTAGTGACGGGGTAGGTTAAAATCTTTATCGTTTATTAGGGAGTGTAAGCGTAAAGGCACAGTTCAGCCTTTTGAATGATGGGCATGCAACTCCTTTAATTGAAAAACTAATTAGGAAAATCAATTAAGCATAATTCTGAAGATCAGTGAAGTGAATGTTTTCAACAATAAAAAGGTTTGAAAATGTTAAAAACATTGAGATCACCGATCTTGAATTATGCTTAATTGATTTTCCTAGTTGGTTTTTTCAATTAAAGAGATTGTTGTGCACTTTAAAAACCATCATTCAAAAGGCTGAACTGTGCCTTTAATTTAGCTTCAAAAACTCATTAATAATTTAGGAGCAAAACACAAAGAAAAATCATAAGCGTGTCGTGGTTTTATATGTGATAAAACTCATGTTAATTTACATAAACTTTAGCTTTGATTTTCCGCTCGGTTTAGACAAAGTTTATTTTAAAAATTACTTCGCCAATGAACTCATATAAGATGAGTCGTTTTTTAAGCCATTTAAAGAATTTAAAGCACGCGTGCTTTAAATAGTGCTTAGTTGATGTGTTTACTTCTTTGAGGCGGACATTTAAACTATCTGAGGGTATCTGAGGGTTACTGAGTTAGATACAGGGCCGTCACTAGAGGGTGTGTGTGTGTGGGAGGGGGGTAGCCTGCGAACAGGCCAGGGCATTTTTTAAGAATTCGTCAGTGGGGGGGCCATCTACAAAAAGGGACCATACTATACCGAGTGTGGAGCAATCATAGATGGTTTGTTGGTAACAAAAAGTTTGGTGTGGTATCGCATTTAATAGTAGGGGGGGGGGGAGAGCAGGGCCGTAGGAAGCTCTTTTCGTTTGGGGGTGGGGCTGAAAGCGAGGGCCGAAGGCCCGAGGAAATTTTTAAATTTAGAGTCTCTGACATGCCATTTCCTGGACTTTGGGGAAGATTTGACAGATTTCTGATTGTCAGAAAACAGCGTTTGTAGTATGTGGAAATTTAGAATTCAGTAGTACTAAATGGACGAAGGTGTATTTAATTAACGATATATTGGATAAGTTGCAAGAAAGTATGGGTAATATCTTCATTCTTTGCAGTTTGTCATGGATTAAATAATAAAGGTCTGCATGATCTTGAAAAATGAATGACCCTACGGCCCTGGAGAGGGTCTGGGGTTTTCTCCCCCAGAAAATTTTGTATTTTTCTACCCCTATGACTGCAATTCCCTGCATTTTCTGAAACAGATTTTTGGATATACAGCATTACATTATGCTGTAGATAGACTGAACCTTCAGTTAAGTACTTGCATAGTATGTTTATGTAGATACAACAACTTGGCCGTCACTTAGGGAGCCAGCTTGATAAACTTAGAGTTCCCGACTCCCACGAAGCGCCACCATGGTTGGCACAGAGCGGAAAATTTTTGAAAATTTTGCGTCTCTAAATCATCGGAAATGGCATTTTCAAAGTCTTCTATACGTCTTTTGTTTGGTCCTTTCATTAATTCGTTCATTATGATTTGTGAGTCTATGATATCCGCGAGTCAGGATGGATTATTACGAGAAATGTTATCAAAATATCGATTACAGATATTTGATTATATGTATATATGATTTCAAATACTTCTAGTTTCAAAATCAAATTTTTTTTTTTTTGGTGGGGGGGGGGCAAAATTATCCCCCCTTATAAAACACTTGGTTGAGGGCCTGTTGCCCCCTGCGGTCACTAACTTGTCCAACAACTCAAATCTATAAGGTCTGGGAAATGCAATCCACTGCCTGGGAAATGTTTAAAATCTAAGGTATTTATTAAACATAAAAGACAGGACATAAGATTCACAAAGCAAATTTCAGTTACTAGAATATCAAACTTCCCTTCTAAATTCCATGTTTTGCTTATATTTTAGAGAAAAGGGACTTTGACTGGGGGGGCCAAAATGGTTGAGTGGGGGGGCCACCACGGGGGCTGGGGGGGCTTTGGCCCCCCCAGTTATATAGTTAAAAAATGCCCTGGAACAGGCTCACTGGGAGAAAGGTGAGCCTGCACGGAACCATGCGTTTTATTCAATCATCCCCTTTTCGCATCTGCTAAACGCGAACCAATCAGCGTCGACTGCGATAAATAAACTGTCAACTGTCAAATTGACGCAAGGCGTGTACATTATTGTACAACGAAGAAATACTGAATATTAAAATGTATGCCATACATAATGTTATGTGAACAATAATACAAAGCATTAGCGGGCCGCACAATATATTACTCGGAAAAATATAGAATTCTTCAAATATTAAATAGATATCAATACTACGGTGGCCCAGACGCGACAGCACAAAAACAGTTTTTGTATTTTTTGATTTTTTGATTTTTTGATTTTTTGATTTTTGTATTTTTTGATTTTTTGATTTTTTGATTTTTGTATTTTTGTATTTTTTTGATTTTTTTGTTTTTTTATTTTTGGATTGATTTTTTTTTCAGTATAGATATACATACTGTAGCACTTGAATGAGCGGGCAAGGTTACTGATAATGGGTATATATATAACATGATCGAAGCTGTGTAACACAAAATTAAGGTTAAGGGTTAGGGCCGCGAATTTGGCATTTATCATGTTGATAAATTCGGACCCGTTTAACAATTTACTCGTATAGTAAAATTCAAATGTGGAACTCATGCTGTAAATTACACTATACGTATAATCTTGATCAAAAAATTTTCACGACATATGGCGCCGGACAAATTAAATGGTTCATTTGGTGCCGGAAAAAATTTTGCGGACATAAAATCGTTTATTTTTTGCCGACAATTTTCTTAATATTTTGAGATTTTTAGATGTATTATTCATGTGGGTACTGGGATTTATATTCTGAGTTCATCAATCTTGCATCAATAAATTTTAAGGGT